GCTCCTAGACGAGCTTTGGTGTCAAATGAGGACGGAGAAAATACCAGCCTATGGTACACCAGACTCCGAGACCGGCAGTGTGCGGATTGGCTAGTGTCTCTCGTGACCTCATCTCGTCCTCACAGTAGCCCTGTGACAGAAGCCGACAACCCCGCCCTTCCCATTTTTCCATCCTTGCAGGGTCTCAGGTAACCTGGGCTGGTCCTGAATTCACTGTGCTGGTGAGAATGGCCTTGAACTTCGGATCACCTGGCCTCCACCTCTCTAGTGCTGGGGTTACAGGCACAGACCACCACACAAGGCTTGCGCAGAGTTGGGGATGGGTCCCAGGATCTGGTCATGGGAGGCAAACAGTCAATTGAGGAGCCCAAGGACTCTTCCATTTCAGAGAGAAACAGTAACAATGAACCAACTGAGTTTGACTCGGAGCAATTGTTGCTACAGACTTAACTGTTGGCCTTCAAAAGTGAACTGTAATTCTTGTCTAGAATAAGAGAGCAAAACTGCAGACGAACTCTAATAAACACCATTAAAACAACCTCAGAAGTCAGTTCACCTGCTAATAGAAAAGACACCCTCCAATTGTGAATCCAGCTGGTGGCCCTCCCCCTCAAGACTTCGGCTCTAAATGGCTTCTCTCGTCTCCTCAGTTGTCACTCTTCGAAGCACCTGGACTCATATCCACAGTACCTGGCTGCTTACATGGCTCCTTCCCGTGAAGGGGTGTGGGGGGGGGAGGTTCCTCCTGCCATATAATCCACCCAGTCCCCAACAGCTAACTTCCTAACTCCTGTTGATGGCAGGGGTGGTATGGCTCTCCCTGTAATCTCAAAATTGGGAAACAGAGACAGGAGAATTGCCACAAGTTAGAGGTAAGCTTGGTTGTACAGTAAATTCTAAGTCAGTTTGGCTACAAAGCGAGACCCTGTCTGAAAGAAAAATTGTTCAGTTAAAACAAGATTGGGAATCTTGGAGTTTCTTTTCAAGCTAAGGGCAGAAGGTACTAATAGAGATGAAAGATGTAAAAAACAGAAGGTGATATGTAGTAAGGAGCTTCGGGCAGGCCTGCTTTTCGTCCAGTCTGGCTCCTGCACCGCTAGCTTAACCCATTTCTAATAATCTGTGTAGCACCACAAGGTGGTAGCTTACCGGGAAAGATTCAGCATGTCTGACCTGGCGGCTGGCTCCATGGTGGCTGCCTCACTGCCTTCTTTCTCCCAGCATTCTGTTGTTTACTCCACCTACCTAATTTTCTGTCCTATCAAAGGCCAAGGCAGTTTCTTTATTAACCAATGAAAGTAACACATAGACAAATAACCCTCCTACATCAGTGATAAGAAGATGGGCATCAGTTGGGTGGTGGTGCATGCCTTTGATCTCAGCACTTGGGAGGAAGAGGCAGGCAGAAGTCTGTGAGTTCAAGGCCAGCCTGGTCTTCAGAGTGAGTTCCAGGATAGCCAGGACTATATAGAGAAACGCTGTCTTGAAAACCAACAACAAAAAGCTGTTCTTTGACTCTGCTGCTCTAGAACCAGCCAGGAGTTATTTGACAGAGAGACACTACCAGACCAGAAACCAAATCAAAGCCTAAGCCACCCCTGCTGACGAGGCTGCTGAGCTCAACCTGGAAGTAATTCCATAGCTGGCTACTCCCTGTTCTGCCTCTTCCGGCCTTTACCTGGCCTGCCTCCCAACCTGTTAACCCTTAAGATTCTCTCTAGAACACTGAATTAAGCAAGTAGCGGCTCATGTCAATAAGTGGCAGATGGCAAACTCTACTTAGCTCCATTGCAAAGGATGACGCTTGTCTTGAGGGTGGCAGTGTGGATCAACCCCCTGCAAGTTTGCATGGTTTGTATGACTTGCTCCTGAACCCTTTTTTTTCCTGGTAGCTCAAGAAATTGTCAGACCAACAGCAAGAGCAACACTGGGATTGGCTCCCTGATCTGACCATTCCTCCCTGGAAGTAGACCCTAAGGAAAAACCCAGGACAGGTCCTTGCTGTAATTTAGCATTATCCCTTAAATTAGTGGTTCTCAACCTTCCTAACACTGTGACCATTTAATACAGTTCGAGTTGTGGGGACCCCCAACCATAAAATTATTTTCATTGTACTTCCTAACTGTAATATTGTTACTGTTATGAATCATAAATGTCTGCTATGCAGGATATGATATTCAATCCCCTCCAAGGTCATGACCCACAGGTCGAGAACCTTTGCCCTAAATGAGACCATAAATGAGAACCACCACCAATAAATAAGTAAATAAATGGGTGAAAAGTCCGTCTGCTCCGACACAAGCCTGCTCTCACGATGTACCCATCAGAGATGTGTTTATTCTTTGAAAATGCAGTTTACTGCACTCCTTGGAACTGGAGAACAAGGTGGCTGAGAAGGCTAGTCGTCCGAGGCCTGCCAATCACGCTCACGGTAGCTTGGCTCTGCCTGGCGAAGCGTTTCCTCGCCATGGAGTGGCGATGTTTCCATTATCCACTGTGGGATTTACAAATAAGGCTGGCACATGGTTAGCACCTTGTTGACATGGGGTAACAGAGACTTCCCTTGCAGGAAAAGGAAACAGCAACTTTGGATCATCTGACAGCACCCAGATGCAGTGTTTGTGAAACTGAATTCTGTCCCTCTTACAATCCCATGCTCACACTGGTGCATAGTATGAACGAGAACTCCCCACAGCAAACAAGAAACCCTACAGTGAAAACCAGCAAGATGACCTCTTGCAATCCATGCACAGCTCAAGGGCTCAGCCCCCAAAGCTCATTGCACACTAGACGCTGACGTCCCAGACTCTACATCTGGGTCCCCTTGGCCCTCCCTCAGGCTTCTTTCATTTACTAGAACAGCACGCAGGAGCCAGGGAAACACCCAGCTGTGTGTTCTAGTTTATTACAAAAGATACAGACGAAGAAATTCACTGGGCAAGACACAGCACCCTCCAGGCAGCTCTCCAGAGGAAGATGGAGCCTTCGCCACATAACAAGCCTGCAGGAAAGCACGGGCAACCATGTTGAAATGGGATAGATCAAATGGGATAGATCAAATGGGGAAACCCAGCAATGCTGGGCAAATGGCCCCAGTGCTTTGAACAGCTTACCTTTCTACAGCAAAGAGGCAAGAACCCTTTGAAATGGAGTCTGATGCTACACTTCAAATAACTTTCTTCTCATCTTATCAGGAGTACTACTCTGACAATGAGCTGGGACTGGAACTCAAGCCAAGGTCACCTCCATTTTTTTCTAAATGGTTTTTATTTTTAATTATGTGTCGGGGGGGAGGGGAGGCACAGAGGCCAGAGGCTTGAGAGCAACCCGGAGCTGGAGTTATATATAGGTGGTTGTAAGCACCCTGACATGGGTGGGTGCTGGGAACTGAACTCAGTTCTTCTGAAAGAGCAGTAAACACTCAACTTCTGAGCCATCTCCCCAGCTCCAAGATAAAGAGAGGAATATTTGTTTCCATGACCTGCCTTAGGGAAGAGAAATTCTCATTTCTATGATTTGTCTTAGGGAGGGAGGAGTCAAGAATCATAGAAATGTAAATGTTATACAAATATGTGTGTGTACTGGATATATATGTACACATATATATTTGCACACATACATACATGCATGCATATGGGTACTGGGTGACTGTCTTACCGAGGAAAGAGGAAAATATCATATACATTCTCTCTAAGACAGGGTCTCACTGTGTAGCCCCAGGCTTGCCTTAGAACTCATTCAATTCACCTGACTCTGCCTCCCAAGTGCCAGATTAGTGTGCACCCCCCCCCCCCCCCCCCCCCCCCCCCCCCCCCCCCCCCCCCCCCCCNCCCCCCCCCCCCCCGCTAGGCACCCCCGCCCCTAGGCACCATACGCTTGCTTTGTGCAGACTTGTGGGAGGAGCATAAGGAGCTGCTCTCGGGCTTCGGTCACCTCAGTTCCTAAGTGTTCACAGCGTGGAAAGTCAAGACTGCTAAAGAAGAGGGGAAATCTGAAGATTTGGCAAAGGCAGACCAGGTTTGTCCTGAGAGGAACGAGGAGCAGTCTTTCTATCCCCAGTGTCTATTCCGGCAGAGCCACATGGCATCTCCTTGACTTCGCCTAGTCTCTCTATATATATTTCTTTTAGCCTGGCTATATTCTGTTAAACTATTGCCTGAAAGCAGCTTCTTTATTCATTAGCCAATAAAAGCAACACATATCCAGAAGGACTTCCCACACCACCCATGGAGCCCAGAAGAGGACACCAGATGTGTGCTGGGAATTAAACCCTGGTCCTGTCAGATGAACAGCCAATGCTCTTAACCACTCCTTCCCCCAGAATATTAATTTGGGGGGGGGGGAAATCAACTGACAATACATTTTGTAAAGAAGCCCAGGGCAGCCTTTAAGGGGAAAAGTCCCAAACCCTCCCAAACCCCATACTAGAGTTGAAGGCTATCCAGAGCCAGTCCCCACCGTCCACCCCTGCAGGTCCTCATCTCACAAGGCCTCTAGGGGGCAGCATAGCAGAGCGAACACTTTGAGCAGCCTAGGATACAGAACAAGGGAAGGCAGTCCACACCAAATCCAAGAAAAGCTCCGTCCCATTTGTAAAAACAGTGTAGGAACCGACACTAAACACCCCCTGCTGCCGAAGCGACCTGTTTCAGGGAGGCAATGGTAAAACAAGAGAAGCAGGGGTGGGCAGGGGTTTCTAAGGACTGCCTGGTTCTGTTGGTGACTTTTTATGTTTGCATGGCTTTCTACAGTCTTCCATGTGTGTGGCTCACAAGGAAAATGGTGTTCATGCCCAGGACAGGCAGACATGGGGCTAGAGGAAGGAAACAGAACCGGCATCTGGAATAATGATGTGCCCATTCCCAGAAAACAAAACAAAACAAAACAAAACAAAACAAAAAAACCTTTGTAAACATTATTGAATTCCGGTATATATGTCTCCCATAAAAGCTTGTTCCAAAACTTTATATATGTATAAAAATCATAAAGACATACAAATATCAACTAACAACTTCGATTTTTAATAATAGAAACAATTTTGCCATTCCAGACACAACTTCAGGGGAGAAAAATCTTCCCTATAAAAATAAAACTTAAAACTCATCAACATTATAAATATAGCTTTTAACTTCTAGATTTCAAATGCTCCCTGCAACTCCGCCCTTCATTTAACACCGTTCGTTCGGGTACCATCACATTCCGGAGAGAAAACAGCATTACAGCAAAGCTTGCTTTCATTTGACAGAAAGGCTGGAACACTGGGTGACAATAAAGATCTTTGGCCTCTGGGGCTCTTTTTCATGCTTTAGAGACGCTGCTGTAGTAACCAGTGTTTGGGAGAACAGCAATCTCCAGGAACCCGGAACGGGGAGATCCTCAACAGTTTCCAAGTCACGGGGTGTAGTGCACACGGCAGCGAGCGAGGTTCAAATGAACACAGGTGAGGATCCCTGCATCACACAGTCTACTTCAAGTAAAATAATAAAATAATAATAAATTCACAGATAGCCATCAGCTACTACTTTCAGGTTCTAGCAGGATCTTGAACTGAGAAATGAACGCTTCACCAACTCTAAGCTTACTTGGAGGAATAATTAGAAGACCAGGTGGTTGGCTACGGCAGACACAAACCCCAGCCCCAGTCTCAATAGTAAAACCAGCACAGAAGCCTCGAAGGCGGTCCCTGAACAACAAAGGCGAAGGGTTGGGTGACGGTGTCACTAAAGCCTCGCTGATGCACTAAGAAATTACATGCAAAATTAAACACGATGTGCCATCCATATTTTATAGCTAGTTCTATGTTTTTGTGTTTTATTGTTTTTTCCAACTCTTCCTAATAGCTTAGACGATCCGATTGTCTCAGAGCTGTGGAGCACACCCTGCACTTGGATCTGCCCCACAGGGTGACAGCCTCTGACAAGTCAGGAGAGCCACCGCAAAGGGACAGATACTCACTCAAAGGCACAGTTCATAGAAAGGCAAAGAGCTGGAGCACCTTGGAATTTCCAAAAGAATCCATTAAGTCTCACCCGTTAACAATTCCTTGGGAATTTATAAACAACAACAGAATCTACCTAGACTCAAAGCAGAGCGACGGGGAGGCCCCTCTGGAAGCCCAGCGCACTGCTCGCTCCCTCTGCTCTCCGATTTGCAAGCTGCTGAAGAAACCGAGGAGGCGGCGCCCATCCTCAGAAAGGCTTCTATTGCACATGCATTTCTTTGGTTGGAAGGAACACGCACAAGTCTGTTAAAATAGTTCCAGAATGAGCAGCTGCGGTGCGGTCAGCGGGGTGTGGACTTGCTTTCCTTGGGGCCTCAGTCAAGTCTCTGCGAGGCAAGGATGTGGTAGGATTGGCCTTTGATCAGCATCCCTGTCCTCTACTTTGTAAGAAGAACACTTTAGAAGGACGAAGGGGACACCAAAGGGAGAGGGGGAGAGGAAAGGGGAGGTGGAATGAAGGGGAAAGAGAGTGATTGTCAAAAAGTTTGCTGTGAGCCCTGGACTTGATACATCTTCTAGCTAACAGCTGAGGGTAAACAGCTGCCCTTACCTAAACTCCTTTTTAACTGAGAAAAAGCTCTGGGTGAGGGGTGGGGGGCAACTACATTTAACAGAGATCAGTCATGGTCAGGCCCGACCTACACCTACAGAGAAGCTATACGCAGAGACCATCCGCTCTACACCAGCAGTCGGGGAACTGGTGCACAGACGCCAGGTCCAGCCACAGGAGCAGGAGGCCTAGATCTGGATCACCACAGGTCCAGCCACAGGAGCAGGAGGCCTAGATCTGGATCACCACAGGGCCAGCCACAGGAGCAGGAGGCCTAGATCTGGATCACCACAGGTCCAGCCGCAGGGGGGGGGCCTTCCTCGGGATCACCTCAGTCAAGGGTAAATCCACCACAGGCCAGCTGCAGTTCATGGACCCCTCCTTTGGGCTCAGCTCCTAGTTCTTTGGCTCTGACCCCACACTTTACCACTAAATCAAGCAATCTCAAAACATCAACCCTGAATGCTTTTAAATGCTTTTGACTCCTTTACGAACAAATAACACCTTCTCCTCCGCTATCACTAACTCAGAAGCCACGCCACCCTCCCAAGCCGAGGGCTCTCCACTCTCTCTACCTTCCCAACGTGCTCTTTACTTTCCTCATCAAAACTCTTACACATCTTCTCCCAACCCCCCAGAGTTCCTACATTCCTGTGTCTTTCAGATCACGGAGCAGACTGTTCCGAATGAAGACAACCAAGCAGGCAGTTTCGCCGCAAGACAAGTTTGCAAAGACTGCTTGTTAGTATCTGCTCACCCTGAAGCCTAACAAAGATCACATAATCAAAGTAACTAGAAGAAAACAGGGAATCGACCCAGAGTTCATGCTTCCGAGCACTCCAGGATGTGCCCGAGGACCACAGGCTCACAGCTTGCAAGAGGTAACGTCGCCATGCCAACAGAACAAGCTTGCGGAGTCCCTTGTGTCAATCGGTGAGGCGCAGGATGCTGCGTGCGCAGGCTTTGAGAACTGTGTCTGGAGAGAAAAGAGCAAGGCCCTAGCATGCGGGCAGGGAAACAGCTCTCTGAGCAGGGGCGGTGCCGCTCTTTCATGGTCCGAGCTGTGCCTTCCTAACAGGAAGCCCTCGCCTTAGCCGGGCTTCCACACCTCGCCCAGGGCTTCCTCCAGCTTCTGCCGGTAGGCTGTGTAGCGCCGCTTCAGGCTCTGCAGTTGCTCGTCCTCCTCCTTGTCCAAGATGCGCAAGAAGTTCTGCAGCTCTGGCAGGCTGAAGGCTTCCCACTGTGCAGAGAGAACAGGCCGTGTGGAACTCAGAGTCGGGGAATAATTACTTCAGTTCCTTTTTTCCCCAGAGACAAGGTTAGCTACATAGCACAATCTAGCCTTGAACTCATGATCATCCCCCACCTCAGCCTCTTGAGCGACTCCAGGCCCTGCAGAACACTGGCTATCAAAAAGTGGGGGGTACGGTTGTCCTTAGCCCCTAGTCCAACCCTCCAGAGGATCAATTCCCGGTGTCTGCATCTTCTTCCTCTCTGACAATCTCATCAACTCCAGAGGGGTCCACAGACTACCTGCTTTCTCCATCTCTTTCGCCCAGCTCTTGGCGGCCACTCCTGGACTTTGGCATCAGCCTCCTCTTCTCAGTCTACTCTCGTGCCCTACAACCACCCGGCCCTCCTACACACACGGGTATGGCAAACGCTCATGGTTACAAGCATTCAGTTGTCACCCACTGAACACCACAGGAAGTGAGAAATACTCTACCTCCCCAGCCCGACATCTCACACTCACCCAGTACCCCAACTGGCTTAGGGCTTGCTCGCCCCTTCTCTGCTTTGCCTAGCCACTTCCTGCTCACCCTTTGGCTCTCAGCCTACCTTCCTGATCTTCAAGGTTCTCTCCCTCTCCCTTGCCGTGCAAGGCTCTCACTGCACCCTTTAAAAGCCCTGCTCACAATCCGGACTGAAATGACTGAAGCTCCCAGGGTCCCTCACCTACACCTGCCCTGAGTGGCAGCTGGCTGCCTCCCACTACTCGGAGTTTGTTTCCTGTCCTGATGACAGCGGTCTGGTTCCCTAACAGAGTCTCTCCCCACAGCAGGTACCATATCACGCGCACACGCACGCACAGAATGGAGTGACGACAATGAGCTGCCTCAGTGCCAGCACCATCTCTTATCAAGCTGATGACTTGAGTTGATACACGTGGAGAGATCCGACTCCTGCAAGCTGCCTGACGTCCACATATGTGCCAAGCCAAGCGCATGAGCACACATCCACACAAAACAAGATATAATTAAGACAAACTTCTTGTTTTTTTAAGCAGTGACTGTCAAGGAAACTGCTGCACAAGCCAGGTGACCTGAGTTCTGGGACCCACCTAATGCGGAAGGGAAACAATTCTACCCGGCTGTCCCCTGAGCTCTAGGCCTGTGCTGTGGTACACACGCCCACAAACACATATCACACATACACACAGTAACAATGACGATACTTTAAAGGAAATATTTAGCATCACCTTATAGATCACTTTGATTAGAAAAGCTAGAACAATTAGAGGTTTGCCTCAGGCCGTGTCCCCCATCTAAGCACACTGCTGGTCTCTGCCATCTAAGCCAGCAAGCCTCTTCTCCCAGCTGACGCTCTCCACACTTCTGGTTTTTAAATTTTTATTATTTTTATTTTATTTTATGTGCACTGGTGTTTTGCCTCCACGAATGTCTGTGTGTGAAGGTGTCAGATCCTCTGGAACTGGAGTTACAGACAGAGGTGAGCTGCCATGTGGGTGCTGGGAATTGAACTTGGATCCTCTGGAAGAGCAGTCAGTGCTCTTAACCACTGAGCCATCTCTCCAGCCCTCACTTCACACTGAGAGCTCGTAGATGATCTACAGGGCAGAAAATGTTTTCCAGTGAACACCCCAGGACATCCTCCCCTGGGGAGAAGGGTGCTCACGCCAAGAACTCCCAAGTCACCCACTGCATGAAGAGGGGCGCGGACTCTGAGGTCTGCATGTGCTGGGTTTCCCTTTATTTCCTGTCAGAAGGAAACTGGCCTGGAGTCTTTTCTCAGCAGCAGAGGGACCGGGAGGCTCAGTTGAGTGAGTGATATGGGGCTGGGAGGAGATTAGAACGGCTCTCCACACAGAGCCGGACAAGGAAGAATTATTTCCTCCTGAAGAGCTCATGGCAATGTAATGGCCTAAAAGAATTATACTGTAAGCTAACTTGGGGATCATTCCAGGCGACTCCTGCTCCCTCCCGCCCCACCTCCTTGATGAAATAAAGCAGGCCAGCTGTCCTGTGGGGCTGGGTGCCACTGTCAACATTGCTCGCTCACCTCTCCAATTTCGTGTTCTCGAAGGACAAAGCTCAGCGTGTCAGTTCTGGGCCCTGCTACCAAGCGCAGGTAGAGCGGGTGCTCCCGGTCGGAGAGCTTGCAGGCATACACTGGGGAGGGAGACAAACAGCCTGTTACAGAGGTCTCCCCCACCCCACCCTGACAGTCACAGCCAACAGCCCGCTCCTGAGCCCCTATAAAGCCACGGTGAACAAACCGCCCAGGATACACCAAGCCTTGATGAGGAGGAAATGAGCTCTAAAAACAGAATAAATAGGGATTGGCCCCCAAGATTCTGTCCTTCCTGGCAGAAAGAAGACAAACTTTTGGGGAGAAAAGAGGAACTTAACCCCTTTTAAAAAAATGAAAATATCTCAATATCTCAACCAAGCAACACGAATCCCAAGCTCTAGGAGCAAGCCTCTTTGTAGATTAAGAACTGGCAGCCAAGCGAACCAGAAATTGTCACACGGACACGGCGTGTCTCTACACAAACGCACTCTGGTGTCTAAAGATGTGCCAGCCACGAGGGTGACAATTCAGGACACGGCCACTTTAGACTGTGTAGCTGATGTCCAGCTGAGAAGTTGCTGGCAAGCTAAAAATGTCGCCAGACTTTCCCTGTCCCTTGCTATTCAGATGGAACCTACACAGTTTCCTGGTGGCTGCTAGTCCTCCACCAGGCTGCGGAGCCTGTGGCTTCGGGAGGGAGCTGTCGGGACTGTGTCTAACGAATGGCACACCCTCAGAAGGAAGCTGTGTCAGTCACCCTGTCACCCTGTGCGCCAGGTCAAGCTCAGCACATCTCATCTTCCTCTATGGCTGCTGCCGGCTTTTCCCAGAGCCAAACGGGAGAAAGCGCAAACAGCTCACTGCTATTTGTTATACTTCCGGGTTGGCGCAGAGCAAATCGTAGACACCAACTTCCTTCAAACGCCTCGCCCGGGACATCCCATCCCATCTTATGAGATAATCCACAGGTCATGGGCCTAAATTCAGACAGAGCCCGGGTCAAAACACCACTTACTCTTTTCACATGTGAGTTGAATGAATTATACGTGTGCCTCTTTGTTTTCACACCAAGTGTGTGGGTGAACTTAAAACGTGAAAGCATTACTGAAGACTTCAACTAAAAAAGTCTTCTTTTTTTTTTAAAAAAAATTTATTTATTTACTATGTATACAGTGTTCTGCCTTCATGTATCCATACAGCCCAGAAGAGGGCACCAGATCTCATTACAGATGGTTGTGAGCCACCATGTGGTCGCTGGGAATTGAACTCAGGACCTCTGGAGGAGCAGCCAGTGCTCTTAATTGCTGAACCATCTCTCCAGCCCATTCTTTTGTGTCCTGAAAGGTATTAAAATCCTTGCCACCACACCCTCACCAAACCTGCCCCTCCAGGCGTGCCAGCAAATCTTCCACACGTGCCTACTACCTGCAGCCCCAAAGCCCCTCAACCACTCTTCAGCTCAGAGATACAAGCAGCCAGGAATCATAAAGATCCGCCTTGAGTGTGTGGCTTCCAGTCTGTCCCTGGGCTCTGACACAGTCTGACACAGCATCTATCTGCTGCCCTTCTCCTAATGCATACAAGAGACAAACAGAGCGGACAGACCGCTCTCCCTGGACGTGTGGCCACACACCTTGGTCTTCCCTGTGACATCGCTTGTAAAGTGCAAACTTGCTGGGGCTCTCCGTCACCAGAAACTTCTTGAGCAAGGCCTCAATCACTTCTCCCACGGTGTTTGTACTGCTGATGTGAAGTGTGTTCACACACCCTCGGCCGCTGAGTGGGGGTCTCCCGGGGCTGGCTGGGGTCTGGGTGGGTTTGCAGAGTTCCATCTGCACTTTAATGAAGCCAGTGTAAATCCCATTTGAGTTCTGAAGAAGGAAGAAAGGTCGCGGTGAGTGGTGTAGGCAGGACAGGAGTGCATTAGTGCGTCAAGACAAAGGGGAAGGCCAACAGTTCTTTGTGGCTCTTCTCTCAACTTCCCAGGAGAGTGCAGAGAGGGACCTCAGAGAGGAATCGGAAATGCAGTGGAGGAAACACACTAGCCCTGCAGCACTGGCTGGCCCTGCGGATTGAGCCTCTGAAGCCTCGTGTGCTGGGCCAGCACCCATTCGAGAGGACACAGTCCTGTGCGGCACATGTCTGCCAGACCATAGCTCCTTTTCTCTTCTCTGAAGGGGTGTTGGTATTACAGATGTGCACTACCCCATCTGGCCTTTTCCTGGGTCTTGGGGATCAACTCTGCCAGGCTGTACCCACCGAGCCATCTCCCTGACCCCATCTGTCTTTCAGTAGAACCAACTGAACCAGGAAGGACTTACCAAGGTCATCTTCAACTTGTCTGTGACAGCTAAATTGTACTTATGGACTTTCTCTTTGACCTCCTCTTTGCTGAGGTAATTGTGAGTTTCCTTCTCTTTCTCTACATCCTAGAAAAAAAAAATCGTGTCATGCACGAACAACATAGGGGAAAGAGGCAGATGAACTAAGCGTCTTCTCCATCCCACAAAAGAGCAGCAGGCGCATTTCCCGAGACACAACACTGCTCTGCTTCACCTTTAACACCCAGGCTCACCCCGCCACGTGTGCCCCATTTCCCACACTGAAATGAAACCAACCCACCAGCAACTGTAAACAGTGCTTCATTAAACAGCATTCTGCAAATCTCTCTGGTCAATTTCCCTTCTGCAAAAACATCATTCCTCACAATACGAGCTACTGGACATTTCGACTTCAAACAATTGCTTATTTACATGTTTATTTCATTTTCTTCAAGACGGGGTTTCTCTATGTAGACCTGGCTATCCTGAAACTAACAGAGACCCGCCTGCCTCTGCCTCCTGGAGGCTGGGATTAAAGCTGAGTGTCTACGCCCAGTTTCTAACAATATTTAAAGATGCACGTCTAGAACTGTATTAACATTATGGTCGCTCCAGCTTTCCAGTCGATATTAGCAACAAGCACAGCAGGGAATGAATGCCAATCAACCACGCTAGCTATCCACCTGTCAAACCATGCACAATCTCCCTAGGCCAAGACGCAAGTGACCAGACCCTCTACCCAGCACCTTGCCTACTGCTCCCCACACCTCTCTCTCCCTATAACCAGAAAGGGGAAAAACTGACTGGTTAAATTCTCTTGTGAGCCTTTAGAATTTACTACTAATTTACTGCCTATAAATAAAAGACCGTACATCCTACCTAGCTTTATGTCAACTTGACAAAGGGTAGAGTCATTTGGGAATAGGCGACTTCGGCTAAGAAAACACCCCCACGAGACTGAACTGTGGACAAGCCCGTGGGGCATCTTCTTGACTGGATGACGGATGTGGGTGGGCCCAGCTTACAGTGGGTGGTGCCACCCATGGACTACGGGGTGAACACTCCTCTACGGCCTTACCCTCAGATTCCTGCACCCTGATTTTCGGGACAATGGACTACATGTAACTCTAAGGAGTAAATTCTCTCCTCCCCAAGCTGCCGTTGCTCAGAGTCTCACCCAGCAGTGCAGACCTAAGACAGGCACAGGTGCAGCCACATAAGCACAGTGCCTACCTGGGTCACAGGGAACTCTCCCAAGCACCCAGCTGAGCTGGCATAATTACTCTGGAGCCCAGGTGAGACCGAATTTGAGGATTTGAGGAAGTGAATTAATTTGGAAGTGAAGAAATTTCGCTGCTGAGGGGAGGCCTGAGCCCAGAGCCCAGCAACTCTCCCCAGCCCAGCTGTCTGGCAGCCTGTAAGTCTCCACGTGGGCACTTTCATTTAATCCTCCCCCAAACTGAGCTAGCTAGTCTCTGTGGCTTCGAGAGGACCTTCCAGTGACAGACCCCACTAGTTACCAGAGCAAGCTCTCCCTTGCTCCCGGTCCTACATGTCATTTCCACTAAACCGGTCTTCAAGGCTCTGGCGTAGACGAACATTTAAAAATGTAAAGACCATGTGTATAGTCAGATTCAAGCTCGAGGAGCGGATTGGAATTAAATTTGGATGGTTTATCCACCAAAAAGAAAGGATGAAGACACCTCTCTTCTGTACCATGTAAGGGCCTGCTTGTTGGGGGTTTCTGCCGAAGATCACCACGCTCACAGCTAGATATCCAGGCAGGCGGCTGTTCCATGAGGATTCCTGCGTGGCAGCGGCATAAATACATCAGGAATGGCCACTACAGAAGCCATGAGTGGAGAGCCACCAGCATATAAAAAGGCTCTTAGGCCCTAATGCGGGTGAAGGGCATCGGCTGTGACCATTTCCAGTTTCTGCACTGGCCTGGCACAGCCCCCAGTTAGAACCCAGACAGCACTGGAGAATAACCAGCACGGATAATATGCTCGACTCCGTGGCTCCGCGGGCAAGCCGGAAGCCCGCTGGGAACACTGCCAGTGCCGATGTGGTCCCCACCGCACTCTCGGAACAGCTTTATATTTGTTGTTACTGTGGGTTAAGATTTTCCCAAAGAGGACTGGAGAGATGACTCAGCAGTTAAGAGCACTGACTGCTCTTCCAAAGGACCCAGGTTCAATTCCTGGGACCCACATGGCAGCTCATAGCTGTCTGTAACTCCCGTTCCAGAGGACCCAACGTCCTCATAGAGATGTGCATGCAGGAAAAACACCAATGTACATAAAATAAAAATATTTTTTTAAAGAGGAAAAAAAAGATTTTCAAAAAAATTTCTAAGGAAACGTAAAATATGTAGTCCAAACTGGGCACGCCTTCCACCCTAGCACCTGGACAGAGGCAGGAGGATCTCTGTGAGTTCCAGGACAGCCTGGGTTGTACATTGAAACTCCATCTCAAACAAAACCAACAAAAATGTGGCCCATTCCTCCTTGCCGTTCTTTCCATTTGACAACTAGTCAGCCAATGGCCACAGCTGACCAGAGAAATGAGGTAGTCTACACATTCAATTTGTGTTAACTGCCCAGAGGCCTTCAAAGTACATACAATTATTCCTGAGAAGACAGGTTAAAGGTCATTGCCTCCTCCATAGATACCAACTCCTTCTGTCCTGTACAAAGAAAAAGGCACCAAAACCACAGAAAAACCCTGTCTCAAAAAACAGAAAGAAAGAAAGAAAGAAAGAAAGAAAGAAAGAAAGAAAGAAAGAAAGAAAGAAAGAGGCACGGGATTTGCGGCTAACTCGACTTCTCTCCCCGCACAGCTTAGACATCTCCAGATTATTTCCCACCGCTAACACAAAGCCAGCGCTGCAGACACAGTTGCCGCTGCGTTGTCAGAGTAATACTAGTGAGGAAAAATTTCTGTGCAGATTCAGTAGCGATTGTAGCTGGTTGGCTGAATCCAGAGACAGAGACCATGCGGGTTCAGAGGGGTGTGGTAAGAATTGAACAGCCTGGTGTGGTGGCACATGCCGGAATCCCAGCACTCAGGAAGAGCTAGCCTCAGCTACATAGCAAGAGCCTGCCTTTAAAAAACAGAAAAAACTAAAGAAATAGCTGAGGGGTAGCAAGCACGAGGCTTTGCCTTTGATCCCCAATGCTGCAAATGAGCACCCAGCTAATGGTGTGGGGTGACCGAGCAGGGCCAGGAGGTGCAGAGCATTCCAGCGGGCTCGGGCTCTGCTCCCTGGTCTACCCCAGGGCCTTGGGGCCTGTTCACCCTCTCAGGTCTGTCTCACTTCCTGCTAGATGGCCAGTCTGTCACATCTGAAGAGCTCCTGACCTAACAGCAACAGGTCCGCAAAGATCTAATCTGATGCTGTTCTCTCTGGTAAGACCAAAGGAGGGACATGGCTCCATCTACAGGATCAAGGAAGCCAATGGCCCCAGACCACTGGCTGCACATAAACATACTGCATGTGTATCCTGGGGGATTCAGCTGGGTGGGGTCCCAAGGAAAAGAAGTGAAGGGGCAAAGAGGGGGTTGTTAGTCAGTTCCCAAGGGCAGCCTTGATGACAAGGGCTAGAGCACGCCCCTAGGCCCCCTGGAACCAGGAGCCCAAGGCACTGAGAGGAACATCAAAGGAGCTACATCCTCAGGGCAACCTACACAGGACCACAGAGGAGGAACTCAGAAAGGTTATCTTTACTTCTCAGAGATTAAACCAAGGAAAGAGCAGAAAGCATTGTGAGACTTGGAGTCCGTGACCTACAAGACCCCTTCTGGGCCGAGCCTATCATTGTTCAAAGATCAACTGGACAGCAAATCCTGGGAAAGCAGAGCACTTCCAAGCAGGGCTTAAAAAATAGTGTGTGTGTGTGTGTGTGTGTGTGTGTGTGTGTGTATGGGGGGGAGGGGCTACTTGATCCAATCATATAGGCGCGTGCCTGGGGGCAGGGCACGGACACAGGGACTCAGTGAAACAGCTGTCTCCACCTCAGGGGCACGTTACCTCTGGGTAGTCCAGGTTGACCGCGCCTGACAAATTCAGCTGCTTCAAGACAGGGGAGGGAAATGACACCGATTTCAGATAGGGTCCAGACTGGAGACGGACCCTTACCTTGGCAAGACTTCCAGGTTGTTTAAGCCTTTGAGAGACTCTTGTCTGCCAACCTGGGGAAGAATCCCTCCAAATACACGCACAGCCCTGCAGGAGGGAGGGAAGGAAACACAACCCAGGCGGGGCAAAGAGGTGGGAAGGAAAAGGGCAAAGACGGGGTTAAGCCGTGGCGTGGCAGGCGTGGCACAGCACAGTCTATAAGCAGGACTCTCACTTCGGGGGCAGGACAGGGAAGGGCAGAGGCGTCTGCCAGTGGATAATGCCTGGTTATTGCTCTCGGCAGCCGGGGAGGGGCTGTGCCACACCCCAGAGCGGCTGCTGGGCAGGTTACAAGTCATCTCTGTCTGAGGCCACAGGGAGAGTTCTGCCATCCCAACGCTGTGCTCGACCCTGGCGTTTCAGCCAGTGTGCCCAAAGAGCACAATTTGGGTCAACCTCGCTTCCTGGGCGGGGCCACATTTCCAGACTGTTTTCTCACCGGTGAGACACACCCACCTCACAGACACAGACAACCTACACCCAAGGTGTGCTCCCATAGGCTCATGAGTCAGACTTTTCCAAAGACCCCTACAGGTCTGAGAGAGGGTCCGCGAACAGCTTCTGTTTGTCTGGTTAACTCTGAAGCTACACCAAAGTTTAAATTACAAAGCCACTGAACAACAAAAGCTCAAACCATAATGAACAAATCCAAGTGACTTCAAAGGGGTAAAAATAGACAGATGCACAATCACTACCTCTGTTTTAGCTTAGCGACAGAATGCAAATTATGGTTTAGACATACTTAGGTCTGAAATCATGGCTCTCTGCCACACCCTAGCTGTGTGACCAAAGGTAAGTTATGTAACCTCTCTGAGCCCCGGCTTTCTCATCTCTGTGAAATGTGCAGAAACAATACCTACTTCATACTACCGAGAGGGCACAGTGCCGGCCATCACTGGACAATTATTAGTGCCCACTGGCGCCAAGC